CCCCCCCCCTGCCCCAAGGAGATGGGGGGAAGAGGCAGGGATCGATGCACAGAGCTGCCAGCCCTGATCATGATGATTGCAGAGTGGGAGGAGGAAGAGGAGAGGCCTCGGAGCTCGTCACCTACTTCTCTTCATCAGCCTCCTGTAGGCAGGAGGGCCACAGAGCAGCGAGAGGATGCCAAAGAGAAGCAGGGCCAGGCAGATGCTCACGATGGTGCCTGCCGACGTGCCGGCAGGCTGCGGCTTCGAGTCCTGGCCTGGGGAGAGGATGGGTGTCACCGAACAAGACCCCTTGTGCCCTGGCAGAGCACCCCCCTGCCCTGCTGGGAGGGCTACAAGGACCCCCAGCAAAGTTTTCCCCATCCTCTGCCCCGAGCTCACACCCTCTGCCCTTTCCCCTGGTGTGGAAATCCCAGCTCCTCACATCATTGTCTCCCGGGGATTAGGCCCAACGCGGTGGCTTACACACGACTCTGGTCCGGGAGCAGGTCTGGGGACCTCCAAGGCTGGCAGAGCAGAGGTGCAGGGTGGGGATTTTGCAGATGACACCCGTGGAGGGGGGACCCCGGAGTTCGGTACTGGAGGAGAGGTTCCCACAGCGTAGTTCCTGGCAGAGCTGCCTGCCCCAGCTGGCTCGCTGCGCCCAGTTGTCACACAGCACCTGCCATCGTCCCTGGTGAAAAACCTCGATGTCCCCTTCGCAAGGCGTGGGGCCTCCTGCCAGCCTTCGCACGGCCTGGGGCTGCGAACCTGGAGATGGGGCAGTGGGGGGATGGAGAGAGGCAGAGAGGGCTCAGACCCCCGGAGAGGACATCACAGCCAGCCCACAGCCCTGCTTCCATGCAGGGCAGGGACGTTGTCAGAGTCTCGGCTTCCCCTTGTGCTGTGGGGGATGCGTGCAAGCCCTCTGCTTCGAGGAGCTTTGAGCTGTCCCTGTGGGAAACCCGCTCTGCCAGCTGCTGCCACGCAGCCCGTTAAAACCCCTCAAATCCCACAGGCGGGCTTCTGAGCTCAGGCAGATGGTTAAACTCAGAGCAAACCCCCTCCTTGCCCCGCAGCTTTGGCTCTCTGTGCGCTGAGCTGCTCCGCAGGGAGATGCTTGTGTCAGGGAGATGCTGGTGGGAAACACCCGAGATACCCCACATGCCCGTGTTGGGTTTTGGGGTGCTCTTACTCCCCGGGTTTTCCTACTTGCAATGCCTCTGGGGCTAGGGGTGCCGCTGCCAGGAACCGAGCGCATCGGGGAGATTTCCTGTTTTGCCTTCGCACGCAGGAGAGCAAGAGCAGGAGTGGGTGGACAGGGTGTGTGGGGCAGACGGGGATTGGGACTGTTGCCCTGTGCAGGGCTTCAGCCACGTAGCCAACCTACAGCTGGGCACCTAGCACAGGTAAAAGCAGCGCGGAGCGTGGCGGGGCTACCAGCCAGGCGGCTGGGGCAAGCGAGGAGCCTGGGGAAGGAGCGGGGCCGTGCCGGGGTGAGCTCTCACGTGAGCAGATGATGAAGGCAGGTGCCTTCTCCTGCTGGGCACGGGTCCTGTTGAAGCAGTCGAAAAGTGAACGGCTCTCACAGGGCTCCACCACCTCCCACCGCACTGGCAAGTGGCTTCTCTGCTCTGGCTTGGGGTAGCTGTGGCTGTAGACGGCGGTGCCGCAGCGGAGATCCTGGCAGATGCGGGTGGCTAGCTCTGGCCTGATGCCCGGGCCATCCGCCACAGACCCCCACAACCCCTGCCTGTGCAGCTCCACGTAGCCCGAGCAGCCGAAGTCCCCGTCCACCAGCTGCAACCTGTTGGGTCCTGGTGAACAATGGGGGGAATAAAAGCATTTTGTTCCAGACCAGGATGACATTTCTCTCTGTTACTGAGCAGAAAGTCCTGAGACTGCCACATCTGAAGCTTAATTGCCTCGTTGAGGCTGCAAATGCTATTAATGAGATCAGGTGATCTCACAAAGTGGGAGGCAGTTTGTTTTGCTGTGTGGAACCCCCATTGCTGCTTTGCTCCCCTCCATCGTGCCCAGTGATGGGGCTCTTACCAGTGGGCTCCGGGGTGGTGGCTGGAGGTGCCGGCAGGGGCTTGGGGGTGGTTTTCACCGGCTCTGAAATAAAAAGAAAGAGGCCAGATTGGGGTGGCTGGTCCCTGAGGATGGGGGTGGCCAGGGTGGGGTCTGGGCTCACCGCTGCAGGTGATAATGGCTGGCTCCGTGCAGTTTGTCAGATCCCAGTGGCACTCCACTGAGGTGCCTGCCAGCCACAGGCACCGCAGCATCTGTGGCTCCTTTTTGCCAGCGAAGATGAGCTGGAGGGGCTTGGGGATGGCGGGGCCACAGCCCAGCCACTGGCAGATGCCATCCGCACCCCCATCGCTGGCTTTGTCCCGGCACACGCGGCTCCACCTGCCCTGCCACCTCACCTCCAGTATCCCGGCGCAGCGGCAGCCACCGCCGGTGAGCTGCAGGATGAGCTCTGCGGGGAAAACACGGGGTTTAGGGGTTTTCCTTCCCTCGGCAGCGTGTTTTCCACCACCTGGGGCTGGAAAAAAGCCCTTTGATGGCACATTGCTGCAGCGCAGTGGGGCAACCAGGGCTTCTGGCAAAGTGGGGCAGGAAGGAAACAGGGTGCTTGGGGGTGCTTGGAGGGCGTGGGGACCATAGGGTTGACCTGGGAGACCTGGCTGAGGCAGCTCTGGCAGCCGCCACACTAACGAGGCCACGGGCAAGGAGCTGCTAACAAAGCCGTGGCCGAGGTTCTGCCACCACACACTCACCTCTAGGGCTCGGGACGGCTCCTCTGTGGCCGGAGACGGCTGCGAAAAAGAGGGAAATGAGGTGTCAGTCCTGCTTCTCGCCCTGGGGAAGGTGGGAACCCCCAGCCTAAGGCAGCAGCTCCCTGCTCTTGGCCTGTCAATGGTTATTTTTTGGGGGAAAAGTGATTCCGGGGGTTCAAGGCAGCCTTTCACCAGGGTAGAGATGCTGCTGGTAAAAGGAGCCATCAGTGGTGTCCAGGAGCTCCCTGGCCATGCCGCGCTCTGCGCCAACCCAGCTGTAATGTTGGGGGGACACCTCTGTCCCCAAAGCTCAGCGGTGGGGATGGAGCCCTGGGGCTGGCCACATGACCCCTCTCCCCAGCGCAGGATGCTGGAGGAGGAGGTTGGGGCATGCTGGTTTTTCTCTTGGTAATAGAAGAGCGTTTTCTGCCTTTCTCGGTGAATTTGCTCTCACTCCTCCTCCTCCTCACACCTTTCATTAAAATAAATAAACACAAACAACTTCATACAACTGGCTGTAGCACTGCCTGCCAGGCTGCCCATCCATCTGCTGGTGGGTAATTATGGCTGAAAGACGACAGGCAAGGGCGCCGGCTAATTACCGCTAACTAACTAGTGTCACTACCGGTAGGAAGGGAGGGCCAAGCAGCAGTGGATGGTGCCACCATCACCGCGGTGAGCCGGAGCGGTGCCTGCTGTTGCCCGCTGTGCCATGTGGACCAAGAGGCAGCTGGGGATGGTGGGAGCTGGCAAGGAATGAGGATAGGGGGGATGGATGGCTGCCCCCCAACACCCATAGGCTCACTCCTGGGGTGTGATGAGCATCCTGGGGACCCCTGGAGCTGCTCACATTTCGTTTTGGGCCCAGCAGCCCCACTGCTGGCCACCAGCCCCTCTCCTCCGGTTTGTGGCTTGCCCCGGGCGGGCACGTGGGACCCTTGGCACGGTGCCGTGAGGGAGCATCAGTGACCCTCAGCTGACATCATGGGGTTGAGTCCCCCCCCAAACGTGCCCAGCTGCCTGGCAGAAGGAACACTGGGGGGTTTCACCATGGGATTTTGGGAGTCCCCAGCTGCACACCTGAGCACCCCCAGCACCGGGAGCTGCCGGCACAGCGGGTACACTTGGTTAAAGCAACCAAGGGCCCTGGCACCCCCCACCCCTCTGCCATGCCGAGCCCCAACACTGTACTCACCCCACATCCCCAACAAGAGCAGGAGGTGCAGGGCGGGCAGGCGGGCTGCCATCGACACGGCCGGCCGCCTCCACCGCTGCCAGGGGCACGGCCGCCTCTGCTACCCGGCCCGGGGAAAGCAGGCGGGGGGGGGTGTGGTGTGGTGTGTGACGGGCAGGAACAGGCTGTTTTTCCTCCCTCTGTGGTTTTTTGCGTCATATCTATGCTCTTTTGAAGTCTCAACCTGGCAGCATCCTCACCAGGTCCTGCTGAGCACGAGAGCAAGAGCAAAGGGAAGAGAAACCCGGGGGGCTCGACCCTCCCTGGTTGCCCACTCCGGGGTCCCCCCATCTGCTCACACCTGGAGGGGCAGTGAACATACCCAGTGCTGAGGGGCTGGGAGGACCCCAGCCCTCCCTTGGGTCCCTGCAAAGCCACTGGTCATTGGAAGGCTGCGTGGCCAAGCAAGACCCCCAGGACACCCAGAGGTGACACCCAAAGGAGGGGCTGGGGAGCACGAGCCGGGCGTTACGGGGGGGTTTGTGGGTGGTCGAAGCTGGCAGTGTTCATCAGGGGAAATCCCAGCCCTGGCAGCAGCTCCCCAGTGCTAGTAAGTGGTTTTGGGAGCCACCACACTGGACTGCAGGGGGAAAACCAGTGACAAGCGCTAAACCCAACATCCCAATCTCCCACAAGAGCCGGATCCCACCCTCGCTGCTGTGGGGAGATTTGCAGCCACCCTGATGTAACACCAACCCCTGCCAGAAATAGCCTCCCCTTGCTGGTGGCTGCTTCTCTCCTCCACCTCCTCCTCCTCCTCCTTACTTCAGCTCTGCCCTGGCTGCACCACCTGCGGTCACCAGTCGAGTGGCACCACCTTGCCGGGGCAGGAAATGTGCCACGGCAGATGCTGCCCATGCCACCCATGTCCCTTGTTTCTAGGGCCCTAACTCTCATTTTTTACAGTACAAACACTATTTTTTGGGTCCAAACCTGCCTTTCTTGGGTGAAAAGACTAATTTTTCTGCTCCAAGCTCTCAATTTTAAGGTCCAAACCCCCATTTTATGTCTCAAAGATTAATTTTTAGCATCCAAAGTTTTGATTCTATGGATAACAGCCTCCCTTTTATGCACCAGTACCTCATTTTTAGGGCCCTAACTCTCATTTTTTATGCTACAAACCATATTTTGGGGTCCAAAGCCGCCTTTTTCAGCAAAGGAGCTGATGCATCCTGTGCCATGCCACACGCCCCATTAGGCCATGGCAACACTGTGATGGCCCTGCAGGAAGGTTTCACCCAGGCATGGCCCCACTTCTCCCAGTTGCTGGCACCCCAGGGACACTGTATATCCCTGCAAGGGCACATGGGGTCCAGGCAGTGATGAACCAGGGAAGGGAGAGGCATTAATTGATTGTGCCCTAATTAATTCCTCCAAATCCAGGTCATGCATGCTAACAAAGGCAGCTGTGTTTCATTGACCCGGTGACGTTTCTGCTGGAAGAAGAGTTGCTGGTGGGTGCCTGGGGAGCGCTGCTGGAGGGACTGAGCTTCCCGGGCAGCTCAGTGAGGTTAGCAAGTGTTCCTGTCCCCTCCTGCTGCCACCACCCTAGGCTGCTGCCTGGAGCCATGGGATGCTGCACTCCTCAGAATAGGGGCTTGGCTCCCCTGGGAGCTTCCTGCCCCAAAACGCACAGAATCCCAGAGAATCATCTGGGTTGGAAAAGCCCTTGAAGCTCCTCCAGCCCAACCGTGACCCTCCCCCTGACTGTTCCCATCTCCACCAGATCCCTCAGTGCTGGGTCAACCCGACTCTTCAACCCCTCCAGGGATGGGGACTCCCCCCCTGCCCTGGGCAGCCCATTCCAACACCCAACAGCCCCTTCTGCAAAGAAATCCTTCCTCAGAGCCAGCCTGACCCTGCCCTGGGCAGCTTGAGGCCATTCCCTCATCCTGTTGCTTGTTCCTTGGTTCAAGAGACCCAACCCCCCTCTCTGCACCCTCCTGTCAGGGAGCTGTAGAGGGCCAGGAGGTCTCCCCTCAGCCTTCTCTTCTCCAGACTAAGCAGCCCCGGTTCCCTCAACTCTCGCTAGGTTGAAGATTTTCCATGACTCGAGAGGAAGCTCGCTGGGGTGTGGTAGGTGGCAGGCGGCCGTGGGCTGCCTGGCACAGGTGGGACTGGGCAGCAATGCTCGGGCAGGTCGGGCACAGATATCAGGCAATGCCGGCAACATGACCACACTGTCTCCAGCCAGACCCCAGCATGCCTGGAGGTAACCCAGCCCTGTAATCCCCTCCCTGCTCCTTTGGCTTCTTGTAGCCCCGCATCCCCCTGGTCAGGCAGGGCGGGGCTGCTGCCTGCACTGGGCAGCGCTGACCCCCCCAGCACAGGGCTGTGGGCTGCATCCTACAGCCCCCGCTTGTTCTCATTCCCTCCCAGTGATCCTAGGGGTCCTGCAGACCCCCAAGACCAGGCTGGGGCTGGGATGGGGCCAAACCCTTTTTGGGTGTCCCAAAGAGTGCTGGGGGTCCTGGTGTTGCCCACCGTCCACCCATGGGCTCAGGGCTGGCACGGCTTTGGCAATGCCCTGGGAAAGGGGTGCAAATCCCAGCCCTGCTCCTGGGCCAAGCCTTCCCATTGGATCAAGCCCCAGGGGTCTGGGGGGGGGGACCCAAGCCCCTCGCACCCCAAGTCAACCCAAGGTCGGTGATTCACCCCCCTGCATCGCCTCTACGAAAGATCCACCTCCCCCTTGTTATTTGAGGGTCCCTGACCCTCACAGACCTCCAGGGGGTACCCGGGGTCCAAACCTCCCCCGCTGAGCCGTGGCTGGCTCTGGAGACCCTGAAATGCCATGAACATGGTTTGTGCTGTGGCTCACTTAGAACATCCCCGCTTGCTGCCAGCAATGCGAGTCAGCTCAGCATCGTCTACATGCTCTGACAGATAAGGATGATTATAATATCTTTCCGGAGGGGTCGAGCAGGCGGGGGAGCACTGGGACATGTTGACACGCTGCCTGCCCGTGAGAAGCCTTTTAAGAAGCAGGAGCTGCCTTGGGTGCGAGCAGGAATGAACTTGCTGGCTGTCAGCACGCTGCTGTTAGCCTGATGATGGTGGAAGTGGCATTTCCCAGCACCCGTCACCGCGTGCAGAAGCAGCAGAAGCTCAAATAAACGCTTGTCCCTGTCTTGAGGCTGGAGGTGACACATGGAACCTTTGTCCCGTTGCCACAACAGGAACTGGGTTATCATCACCCCCACCCTGGGGCATCGGTACCCCTCTGGGTATCAGCATCCCCCAGGTTGCTTCTCAGCTGTGCCACAACCCAACAGCAGAAGTGCCATCACCTCATCCCCAGCCTCACCACCGTGACACGGGAGCTGTGAGCATGGCTGGGGGTACTCCCTGTGCCCCCCCACCTCCCCCCCCAGGCCCGCTTCTGTCCCCACTCCGCTCGCAGCAGCCGTCTCCTTGCTCTCGCTTCACTCCTCTCTCCTTTTGTCTGGGGCTTTTGTTGCTATTTTCGTGCTTCCTCTCGTTGTTGCTGTGTGGCCCCTTTGTTCGAGGCCGCCGGAGCCTCTCGTCTCAGTAAACAGCTGAAGGATGTGGCGGAGGGGGGGCAAATTTTCCACGGGGGTGGGTTTGAACCCCAACCTCCGCCAAGGCTTCACCTCGCCACACCCGGGGAGATGGAAACCCGCCGGTGGGTGCTGAGCTGGGAGACGAGCTGCAGGGTTTGGAAAAAGCCATGTGGGGTGCAGGGAAGACCCCCAGAGAGGGGGGATGGAGGGGTCCCAGCCCCAGGGGTGATGGTTGGGTGCTGTGCCTGGTCACCAGGGTCCCTGTCCCCAAGCTGTACCAGGGACATCCTGCCAAGGCTCAGGCAGGCTGTGGGATCCCCCAGATTTCCCCCTAGTGTGGGGGATGCTGGAGGGAGTTAACCCTCTCGGGGGGGGTTGTACCCCACCCCTTGAGCTCTGGGTGAGAGGGAAAAATCCATCCTGGGCTGGAAGCTGGCAATGTCCTGCTTGGTATCTGCCCCACAGCCCCAGGCTGGGTCCCCCCAGCACTGCCATAACCCCCCAGTGCCTTCCCTGCCCGCAGCCTTCGAGCCCCCCAGCTGGGTTTTACAGGCACGGTAGCCAGTGTGTCCCCAGGATGGTGACTGAGCACCACCCCCAGAGCTATGGGGCTGGATCAGGCTCTGCCACCCCCATGGCCAAGGGACACGGTGACCCGTTGGGAAAAGCTTTTAATTGCAGCACATGGCCTGGCACAGGTGCTGAGCATCCCCTGGGTACCTCCGGCACTGGTGCCCCTGCCCCAGCATGGAGAAGACGGCCAGAGAAGCCCAGAGGAGACATGAGCAGTGGGACGGAGAATCCTTGTCCCCCCTGCCACGTCCTGTGGCAGCTTCAGTAGACAGAGCCCTGGATGTCATCATAGTCGCTGCCCTCAGAGGAGTCGGGGTCCTGCATGTGTCCCCCCGAGGGGCAGGACGGAGCCAGCCAGCCTGCAAGGGACAGAGCCCATCAGGCAGCTGGGAAGGGAGCGGGAGGAGGATGCTGGGGGAGGCAGAGGATACCTGCGCCCCCCACGTCACCCTGCTTCTGCCCTGCCAGCATGGAGTCCTCACCGGGGTGTGGGGATGGGTCCCCAGGTGGCTCCAAGCTCTGCACGTTCTCGTACCACTCCCCCGAGGAGGTGCTGGAGCTGTCGGCGGGATGGGGCTCTGCTGGAGACACGGGTACCCGAGGGTGGGACAGCACTGGTGTGGGCACACGGGGCGTTGCTGGGGGAGCTGGGGGGGGAAACAGGGTCTCTTACTGGCACCTTTCATCCCTGCTTCCATCCCCTGGTGTCCCCCACTCCCATCCCCTCCCCAGGACTGTCCCCATCCCTGCCCCCATCCTTGGGGTCTCTCCACCCCTGCTTCTATCCCCATTCCCCGTCCCCCTCCCCCACCCCCATTTCCCTTCCAGGGCTGTTCCCATCCCTGATTC